TTGGAGACAGAAACAAAATGTAGGAATAAGCAAATTTATTTTTTAACTCTTCAGAATTGTAATTCCTGATTTTTCAGGATGTTTCCTGCTGGAAAAGTGCTAAATCAAGAAAAGGCTTAGCTCCTACCTCTTGCGTACCAGCCTCTGGCTTCTTTACTATTCATTCCATCCAGGAAGAGCACGTACGAACTGCAGGTGCTTCCTCAGCCTGACCAAGGGTATTTAAACCCGAAAGCTTGCTAAGAAGAACTTTTCCAACTCTTGAGTTGGTTTAATAAAAGAGATCAGATTTGCCTAAAGAACTACCTCTTCCCTTTTTCCTCTGCAGGAACAGAGTTTTGGTATGTCCTATGAAATCTGCACCCGTGATGCTAACGCTTTCAGACTCCAAACATGTTGTTCTCCCCGTGGATGATGATTCCGATTTGAATGTGGTAGCATCTTTTGATAGGCGAGGGGAATATATTTACACTGGCAATGCAAAGGGAAAGGTGAGACCTTGTTGTGCTGGAGCTTGCTGGATGAGTTAGCTTTAATGCATTTCCCTTTTAGGGAGGCTGACCCTTCTGTGGGTGAAGCCCTTTGTTTTAGCATGTGAATGAGGCCCAGGAGAGCCTCTTGAATTGTTACTGCTTCACTGGCACAGACCTAGCCTGCTAAAGTGTTTTGACTGACTGAGATCTGCGGATGGAAAAGTGATTTTGAAGAGCTAAGTGTTCACGTAGCTGTTGTTTTTCACAAGGTTTATGGGAATGTGTTTTTCCTCTGACATACAAACAGATAATTTGAGAAGGGCTGCAGGCATGCAACTTTTAACAGAAGAGCGCAGAGTAACGTACACAGATTTAATCCTTAATCCTTGTCCCTTTTTATCCTAATGGGTAAACTGAGTCATAAGTTATGAGTTTTAAGAAGGATTTTAAGAATCAGTGACAGAAACAAAAACCCCAGAAGCTTACCTGAGGGCATGGGCAGATGAACACGTAGCCCAGTGGATCTGGAATGGCCAGATGTGTGGCTGTCCCAAGGTAGGTCGCGTAGTAAACAGCTGTTACTATGCCTTGTCACTAGGTGGCAGAGAAGCAGGCACTAGCCAGTTTGATGGTAGCAAATAACTGCTAGGGCTGCATGAAGCTTCAGTCCGTGATTTGATTCGGCGGCCCAATCTCCAAATCCGAATTGAATCGGGAGACCGTACGGCAACTGCCATACTAATAACTGCCCTAGGATAGTCACACAGACAACATCTAAACTGTTTTAACTTACGTTCATGGTGTTTTACCCCTGATTCTTCTAGGGATAATTTTTCACTGGGTTGGGCAAATTTTATCTGGTTTTGGAATCTGCGCTTTGTATCTGCTACTTTGTTATAGCGTAGAACAGCTAGTTACTCGGGTATAAACGTGACGACATCCACGCTGGCCCTACGTTCCATGCCTTGTTGAGATCAGTCGTTCTCAGGGTGCTGCAGCCTCCTGAGGCTCCTTGAGATCTTTTCAAGTGTGAAAAGGGGGTGCCACACAAGGTTAGCACTGTTATGTGTGTGAACACCTAGATGTGATTCCCAAGATAAACCCAGAGGTTTCAAATAGGAATTCATTCTCACCTGTTGTGGTCGTCTTGGGTTCTTTTCAACAGAATCAATGCTCTATTATTTTTCTGTAGTAAAAAATGAGTGAAAAATAAGAGCTGGCATTTTCCAGCGTGGGGGACCTTGGCCCAAATGAGTGCCTCGGGTTTACGTAAACTGAGAACTGCTGGTCTAGATCATGTAGCCTTATTAGGAGTGGGTGGCATGCATACTGAATTGGGAATGGTCATTAAAGAAAACTGATTGATTTCTGTTTGTGTAATTTTCAGATCTTGGTTTTAAAAACGGATACCCAGGATCTGGTTGCTTCTTTCCGAGTAACAACTGGAACCAGCAACACCACGGCTATTAAATCAATCGAGTTTGCTCGGAAAGGAAGGTAAGTGGGAGGTTTGTTCCCAGAAGTGCCATCTTTACAGGTGAACTGAATTGAATTGAGGTGAATGAACATATTTCAAAATCAGTTTTAGAATGGAGTCAATTACCAGAGTGTCTTTTAATCTGTGAAGAGACCATAGTTAGACGTAAACTCTTTGGGAGCCTTTTCTTACCTGCTAGAACTAGAGATTTGTCACTGCTGTTGTACAAACTGATATTTTTCAACAGCTGAAGGACTTCAGTACTTCAAGGCTTGTGTTCTGGTTTAGGGTCTGTGGTCTTCTGGATAGAGTATGCTGAGTACGTTCTGTATACATGTTGCTATGGGTTCAAAATGAGTGGTTTTTGGGATCGTGGCAATTGTGACGCAGAAACAAACTCAGAAGAATCTTAGCAACATACACAGCCTTTTGTTATGTAAGGGGGGGAAATCCAGTGGTCAGTACACGTCAGAACATTGTACTGATTTAATAGATTTAGCTTGTCTTAAACGATAACTTCAAGGATAACTTGAAGAGATAAAATTAATACATGTCTTTTGTGCATGTTTTTTCTTGTTAGCATAGATGTATGCAATTAAAAAAAAATGGCTTGTTTATATGGGGTCCAACTGTGCCAAGTGTTTGCACTCAGGTATCATCCTTGAGTGGGGATTGTGGGAGCTAAGCAGTTCAGACTTTTAGGTTTTGTTAAGTTTTGTTTAGAATATTTTTTAGACGTTTATTTAAAGAAATCCTTTTTTTCAAAGTCACGAGCTCTCCGTGTTCTCTCTCCCCCAGCTGCTTTTTAATAAACACTGCTGACCGAATCATCCGTGTGTACGATGGCCGGGAAATCCTAACCTGTGGGCGAGATGGGGAGCCTGAACCCATGCAGAAGCTGCAGGATTTAGTGAACAGGTAGGGAGCAGTAAAGAGATAGGTGGGTCTGCCTTGAGTTACAGAGTTGTGTGTTTGCTGCTACCCAAGAGGACTTCATAACTCATTCCTCATCTTGTTTCTTCCACATGGTACCATCGGTAACTAGGTGCTTTGCTCTATGAATTCCTTTGCTTACAGGACACCATGGAAGAAATGCTGTTTCTCTGGGGATGGGGAGTACATTGTGGCAGGATCAGCCCGTCAACATGCCCTGTACATCTGGGAGAAGAGCATTGGGAACCTAGTAAAAATCCTCCATGGGACCAGGGGGGAGCTGTTGCTAGATGTAGCAGTAAGTGCACATTTCCTAAGTTTTGTTGTTTTTATTTCTTAAAAATAAGGTGCAAAAAATAAACTTTTCCTTTTTTCTTCTATCCAAATAAATCTAGTGGCATCCTGTCCGACCCATCATTGCTTCCATTTCCAGCGGTGTTGTGTCCATTTGGGCTCAGAACCAAGTGGTAGGTGTTTTGCTGACTCCTTTCCCTATGGAAGAGTACCCCGTTAACATCAGCTAAGCAGACCATATTGTGTGTTTTGGCAAGGGATGTCCCAGAGGACGATTTATTTCAATGTTTTTTAAGAAAGTCAGAATTCAGCGCTATCTTTTAACTGTATACCTAATTTTAAGCACATGAGTGACCCTGCTGAATGCGAGGGGCTAATTTGGTGCTTAAATGTCATGCTTAATAACGGAGGTGTTAGAGTCTGAAATCTGACATTATGGGGAACAGTGTCCTTCTGAAATTATTTTTCGGTGATAGCAGATCTGAGAACATAATTGCACAGAAACGTGGTGAAGCACAGCATACCCGCCTTGGGCTATGGAAGCCCTTATTAATGAGGGAAGCTATTCCAAGATTTAAAGTAATAAAAATCTAAGAATGTCATGTTTACTTCGGAAACTAACTTGGCCAGTTTTTAGACTCCCATGTGAGTGCAGCTGTCAGAGGGGTTGGTCTTGTGATAGTACATGTGGTTTGTGGGATTCTGCTGAGGAGCTAGAGCTACTGTATAGTTATATAGCTGCCTAAGTGCAGCTCCTTCTTGTTCACCCAGCGTAAATTATTTCTGAAATTTGTGATTTAGGAAAACTGGAGTGCCTTTGCGCCTGACTTCAAAGAGCTAGATGAAAATGTGGAATATGAAGAGAGGGAGTCTGAGTTTGATATTGAAGATGAAGACAAGAGCGAACCAGAGCAGACAGGTACTATCCGAAGTGTATATGTAACAGAGGGTCTGATTAGATGTGGCATTTTTATTAAATCACTCCTAGTCTGCATACTTGATTAGAAATGAAAGGGATAGGATAAAAGTGGTACAGCCAGGCCATTGATGGGAAAGCCAGGAGAACTGAGTGTGTACAAAATTATGAATTTCACTTCAGCTCTCCTTTCTAAGATTTACATTTGACATCCAGCATTTCATGGAAAAAAATGACTTCTACACGTGTGGCTTTTAGCCCATTTAAAATCACGTGCCCGTGTGCAGACAAACCATTTTCAGTAAACAACCATACAAGCTTTGGAGGGGCTCGTGCTCAGCAGTGGAAATATTTAATTTAAATCAGTAGCAGCACAGCTTAGCCACTTGGTGGTGCCAACAATCTTGTAGAGAAGTTAAAGGCTATAATTAAACCAGTAAAGCTAGGAGCTTCCACGCTGACTGTGAAGCTGTCATCGTTAACAAACACCGTACATAAGCGTTGCAGAATATATAAGATTTGTTGAGGGTGTGGAGTTTTATAATATCCAAGCATAATATGAGTTTTTAATTATATTATTTTAGTTGCATACAATTTGTTTTCTTAGGTGGGAGATCACTAGATAGGAAGTAGTGAAAATCTGAATTGTTGATCTATTATTGTCACCCAACCCTAATAAAAAAGGCTTATAACTAAGCAGACCAAATGGATTTTTGACACAATACTAGATAATTTTAGTATCCGTCTGCAATGGGAAAAACTGTGCGCTTGTAATAAGCTTCCAGTAGAAAGAATGTTTTGGGTATTAGTATGGGGAAGACCAAACCATTGTCAACCATTACAGGCAGCAACCTAGTGGGAAATGTGCACCTTCATGGTTTAAAGGGATTCCATCTTTAATCATATCAAATCATTTAGAGGTCACATTCTAAAAAGCTTGTATCTGTATTCTGACACTTCCGGAAGTAGTACATCATTTAATTGTGATGTATTTAAAAAAAAAAATACTGCACCCCTGGGGTTTTTGTCTAGTTTCTTAGTTCAGTTATTTTTTTCCTGCTGGACATCAGCTAACTCTTACTTAGCAGCCCACTCTTTTTCCTTTTGAGTCCATGATTCTCTTTTCCTTTTTGCAGGTGCGGATGCTGCAGAGGATGAGGAGGTGGATGTAACCAGTGTAGATCCCATTGCTGCATTCTGTAGCAGGTGACTATATTGATTTTTTTTTT